ACGCCTCCACGGACATGATCCTGACCCCGGGCTATTGGGATAGTGACGCGGTCATCGAGTCCAAGGCAGCCTCGGCACGCAGGTCAAGGAAACCGAAGGTAGCAGGTAAACAGACCGCACGGGACGCCGAAACCGACGCCATGGAAACGGACGGCGAGGAGTGGTCGAAAGTCGTCGGCAGACGATCCAGGCAAGGGAGAAAAACGGCGGCTGCTGCACTCCCACCCGCCGCAGGGTCCGCCAGCGCCCGCCTGTTTTCTCCAATAAACCGCCGGCGATCCTAATCCGAAACGCGGCCGGAAAGTCCTACCGGGACACCATTCTGGCAGTGCGGAATTGCGGGTTGACCAGGGATGAGATAGGCACTAGCGTCACTATGAGGCAGACACGGGACGGATGTCTCCTCCTGGAGCTACCCAAAGGAAGCAGCTCAACGAAAGCAGCCAAGACTATCGCTTCAGCCATGTCAAGCAAGCTTGGCGACTCCATTGGGAAGGTGGTCCAGCTCGGGGTCCAGGTGGAAGTCGAAGTGTTGGACATCGATGCAACCGCCTCCGCCTCGGAAGTCCTGGAGGCGCTTCGCGACGCGATTCCCGGTCAGGACGATCCTACAGCCAGGATCGACAGGGACGTAGTCAGCGACGTCAGGATATGGAGCACCCGATCCGGACAGCAGATCGCGACAGCGAAAATGCCCAGGAGCATTGCCGCCAGCATCGCCAGGGTCCCGATCGGGTGGACCATGTGCCGCGTCCGGCCAAGAACGCTGCCACCGGAGAGGTGTTTCAGGTGTCAGGCCTTCGGCCACAACTCCAGATCCTGCACCGCGGAGGACAGGACGGGCGCCTGTTGGAAGTGCGGAGTGGCAGGCCACTTAATGAAGGACTGCGCCGAGGGTGACGACCGTTGCGTGGCCTGCGAAACCGCTGGTCTGCCGAAGGTCGCGCACAAACCAGGCTCCGGGGCGTGCGCCGCTAGAAGAAAGTCGGGAGCAGCCAAGAGTACAGATGATTAAATTCCTGCAGATAAACCTGAATGCAAATTGGGCAGCAGAGCAGCTTATGGCACAGACGGCGGAAGAGATCGGGGCTGACATCCTTATTGTATCTGAGCCGGCCACCCCCTATGGCCATGAGGACCGGTGGTGCTTCAGCACGGATCGCAAGGCTGCTGTGGGTACATCACTGCGCTCAGAGCTCAGTCACGATGGTCGGGGATTCGGCAGTGGGTTCGCCTGGCTATCATTCCAGGGGTTGACTGTCTTCAGCTGTTACTGCAGGCCCGGGGCCTCGCTGCCGGAGTATCGACTGTTTCTGGGCGACCTTGAGGCGGCGATCCGCGCTAGAGGGGACTCATCGATCGTTCTGGCCGGCGACTTCAACGCCTGGAACGTGGAGTGGGGTTCGAGAACCAACAACCCCAGGGGCGCACCGCTGTCCGATCTCGCCATAAGTCTGGGGCTGATCTTGGCCAACTCGGGCACCTCCCCAACCTTCGTGAGAGGGGCGGCCACATCAATTATAGATCTCACGTTCTATCGAGGCGTGGACCTCACAGACTGGCAGGTACCCGACCTAGAGACATTGAGCGACCACAACTACGTCTGCTTCAACACGGCCGACCCGGCCCAGCCCCCGGTCGCCGATGTACTCGCTAACGTCTCCTCCGGCTGGTCAATCAAGAAGCTCGACCCAGACGCCCTGTGCCGTCATCTGAGCATCACGCACCTAGGAGCCACCGCCGGTGCCGCCTGTGCCGAGACTGCGCTGTCTTCGGCTGAATCATTGGATGCGTTCCTGTTCGGCGCCTGTGAAGCTTCCATGCCCAGGAAAAGAAAAGGCCCTCAGGGCAGACGGCCGGTGTTCTGGTGGTCGGAGAGGATCGCCGATCTGCGGCGTCAGTCCCTTGCGCTCCGTAGGCGATACCAAGCCTGCATCAGACGCGTCAACCAGCCCGGAGTTCAAGAAGCTAGGTTCTCCTACATCGCCGCCAAGAGGGAGCTACGCATAGCCATCCGGGAGGCGAAAAACAAGTGCTGGGCCGACTTGTGCGCCCAGGTTGACACAGACCCCTGGGGCAGACCCTACAAGCTAGTGATGAAGAAGCTCGGCGGCCAGAACCCGGCCGCGAGCTCCAAGGGCAGGGAGGCCGTCATCGCCGACGCTCTGTTCCCAGCGGCCCCCGTCACGGATTGGGGTTTGGCTCCGTCCCCAGCGGTGCACAACATCTTCCAAGCATTCGACCCTGTCCTGGACACGCTCGAGTTCACCAGGGTCATTCCAGAATTCAGGCCGGAAGAACTCAGCAGAGCAGTAAAGAGACTCTCACCGGGCAAGGCGGCCGGTCCTTCGGGGATCCCCAACGAGATCCTTAGGGCTGTCGCGCTCGCCCAGCCCTGCGCAGTCCTCCGCGTCTTCAATGATTGCCTCAACGCGTCGACGTTCCCACCACGTTGGAAGAGGGCCCGCCTAGTGCTACTCCGTAAGGGTCCGGACAAACCTCCGGACGCCCCGTCGAGCTACAGGCCGATCTGCATGCTGGACGCCCCTGGGAAGCTGCTCGAGAGGCTCCTTCTCCAGAGGCTAGAAGATCACCTGGACGCTCACGGGGGGCGGAGAAGAGCCCCGAACCAGTTCGGCTTCAGGAGGGGAGTTAGCACTGAGTCAGCAATCGGCACCGTTCTCAGCATCGCTGCCCAGGCGGCCACCACCCCGAGATTGAAGAGCCTCTGCGTTCTGGTGACGCTGGATGTCAAGAACGCCTTCAATTCTCTGGGGTGGCCGGTCATCGACGCAGCGCTGAGGGGCATTAACACCCCGGAGTACTTGGTAGAGATGCTCCGGTCCTGGCTGGCTGACAGAACACTTCTGACTGGCGAGGAATTGGCAGAGAGACCGGTGACCTGCGGAGTGCCGCAGGGTTCCGTCCTTGGCCCCACCTTGTGGAACGTCGCTTATGACTCCCTACTGAAAATGGAAACGCCGCCCGGGGTGCAGCTAGTCGGTTTTGCGGACGATCTCGCGGTTGTGGGCACGGCCGTGACCGGAGAGCAGCTTGAAGATGCGATCAATCCTACACTGGCGACCATAGATGTCTGGATGCGGAGCAGGGGCCTAGAGCTGGCTCATCAGAAGAGCGAGGCGGTGGTGCTTTCCCGGAGGCGGGCGTTTGTCCCACCACGCTTGACGGTCGGCGGTCACCCGATCCCACTGCGGAATGAGATTAGGTACCTCGGTGTTATACTGGACAAGCGTCTAACCTTTGCTGCACACGCGAGCACTGTCGCTGCGAAGGCGGCCCGCACAGCCGTTGCGTTATCCAGGCTCATGCCCAACATGGGCGGATCGGCTCAGTGGAAGAGGAGGCTGCTCGCGTCTGTTGTGGAAAGCCAGTTGCTGTATGCTGCTCCCGTCTGGATCCCTTCCGTTACTGAAGTCGCCAGAACTAGGGCGGTCTTGATCCGTCCGCAGAGGACCGCCGCCTTGAGGGTAATTCGGTCTTACCGCACCGTGTCGGATGAGGCCGCCTTGGTCTTGGCCTGCATGCCGCCCGTCGATCTGCTTGGACTGGAGAGGCAGTACATCGGATCTCGTCTGCGCGCCGTAATGGAGCCCGGTGAACAACGGCCTTCCAAGGCGGCCGTGAAACGCGAGGCAAGGGAAATCACGATCGTCGCCTGGCAGGCAAGATGGCACGCCACCCCGAAGGCAGCCTGGACGCGCCGAGTAATCCCTGACCTGGCAAGATGGCTAGGTAGGACCGTCCCGTGGGTGCCTCTGACGTACCACATGACTCAGGCACTCACGGGCCACGGCTGCTTTGAATGGTACCTCCATCGTATGGGCAAGGCCGCTAGCACTCGATGCTGGCAGTGCTCGGGCGAATCAGACACCGCTGAACACACCCTGTTTGATTGCCCCTACTGGGACGGCCTTCGTGAAGCACTGACAGCCAGGATTGGCCACCGACCGAGCACCGAGGACGTTCCGGACATCATTTGTGGACCGGCGTTCGAGCTCCTGCCGGCGGACGCCCAAGGGAAGGATGCGATCCTGAGAGAGGCCGAAGAGCGGTTCAGGCTGTTCTACGGCATGGTGGAAAACATCCTCTCAATCAAGGAAGATGAGGAACGAGTGCGACAGGCTGCGAACCGGCGGAATTTACAATAAGAACCGTCTGTACTGTTTGTAACATAAATAATTTTTGCTTGTAATAACAGCGGGTGGGGGACTGTCCCGCCACTGTTAATTGTCGTGTTTTTGTTTTGACAATAAACGATGGGGGCTGGAGGAGAAGTACTGGCACCATAGTTCCTCCTCCAGTCCTCGATACCACAATAAAAAAAAAAAAAAAAAAAAAAAAAAAGGTAATTATTTTCCTACGTATTATTATGTATACGAGTAGGTATTTAATGATATACCTATGGACAAATATCAGAAAGTTTGGTTTTAAAATTGTTATTCAAATAGAAATAAGTAATAATATATTCATGTCTTTAAAATGATAATAAAGATAAATAATTACTACTATCTAATACAGAGGGAACGAAGCTTGTTGCGGCGTCTACGGGGCATTGGCCCTTCTTTATATTATTATTATTCAATATATGATACATGTATCTTTTACATCGATGTTTTAGATATGTTTAAATATTTCAATCAGTTAAAATTTGTTAGACTTTATTATACTGTAGGTACCTATTTTTAATGAATGTATTATAATTTATAAAAAATGTTTAATGTACTCAATTCATATATCTATATTGGTATTTGGTAGATGCATAACATACATTCATAATCTTATTTGAAAAAAAAATATTAGCAGCTACGCAAGAATTTAAATATTATTCTATTATCAGATTATGTCTAATAATATTTCAGATACTATGACAAATTTGACTTTATTTAAACCTAAATAAAATGAGTAATAGTTATAATATTATATGAATCTATGGTAATAGTAAAACAAAAACTAACAAAAACGAATTCTATATTGAAAAAATGACGACTTATCAACCAGAAGTTGGAGGCGAATATACGACTGGGTACTTAAAGACGCTTATAAAAACTAAAGAGTTACATAAAGATTTAGAAAAAATGGAGTTTCTATCTACTGTATTAACTAATCCAGATTTGAAATTCTACGCTACTTCGGATACCGTTCAAAAGGTCGATCGGAATCACAAAGTTGTACCAACAATACGAAAATTTAAATGAAAATATATCACATAAATAGATTAGTAAAAACACTAAATAGCTTTATCAAAATACATTACGCATATATACGTATCAATATGTATTAAATATGTATTATTGTGTAGCTACAAAATCAATATGGGTACTTGGAAATTGGAATGACCTTAAAAACGGTATATATTATATTGTACAAATGTAAATATATCATTTAATATGTATAGAATTTTCCAATTTCTGTGTGACAAAAATGGTAGTGATCTCGTAAGAACAACATAATCCCCGCCATTTTTTCAATATGAAATTTATGGAAGACCGAAAACTGTAAGTAACAAAATAGGTTGCATTGATATATAACATTGATACTGTTGGCGTTGCGTGTACCTATCAATTTTGTTTGCATGTGGTGTATTATGATGGTCCTTCAGTCTTCATTGCGATAATATTTTGTTTTGAAATATGAATTATAAACTTATATTGTGATGTTTTTTTTTTTTTTTTTGTGAATTTTATTACCATCAGCTATACCGGCCTGTACCCATTATGTAAATATATAAATAGTATATGCCGACCTGCAAGGTACCAAGATGCAAGAATTCAATTCCCTAAACGACTAAACTGTCATAGGCATAATGCAATGATGATTGTATAAATGCAAGTACAAGTCTGCACATACTGCCTGTTGCCAAATATAGTTGCTAAATAGGTATGCACAAATACAGTCTTATGAAGATCTCTACTGAAAAGTATATACCTAGGTGATATAACATTTTACACTTGTAACAATAATTTTTTTTATTTTTTAATTCTCATTTGAGGGACTTTGACCAATAGATAACATTTATAGGTAAGTGATAGATAACGTAATTAAGTTTGACACCTTACAGTTCACATACAAATCTGTAGTTCAAGTGAAGTATTTTTGATGATAGGTATATATATATAAATATTACATATAATTTATAGATACCAGCTATAGGTAAACACTCAGGCTACAAGTACGGTTATATATTATGGTAAGTACCTATATTGGTATATCTTAGGTATATTATTTAGCCATAGCCATATTATAGGCTTCACCAAGTTTTAAGAAGAACATCAAAAAAATATTGCAATCAAGAAAAACGGACAATTAAAAAATGATAACGCACCTAGGTTTATCTATTTGTTTTTAACATTTCATTTATAAAAATAAAGTAGGTACCTAAACCTAATACTATTTATTTAGTATACCCAATTACTTAAGTAGGCTACTATATGAGAAAAAAACTTTTCTTGTGGAATTTTATTTATGACACAAACTTTGATGTTAGCTCAGCTCCTTACAAAACAAAAGGTAAAATTTCTTTAACCAGCGTTACCTACAAAGTACAAACCCTCTTATTGAGTCTTGAAAATATGCTGACTTTTTTTAAAAGTTCATAATCGAAAATTAAACTGTATTCCCTAAAGAATAAAAATTGAAAATCATCATAAAATAAGAATAAAATGGTATAATTATTAAATTATGTCTTAAAAACTGAATAATAAAAGTTGAGAACGTTGGGGAAGTGCAATTTAAAACATAATTAAGCACAATACCTAGGAATCGAGATAAAATAAAAATTTTCTTTCCAATAAGTATTGTGTAAAAGGTGTGCCGTTATTTTATTTTATTCTCAAAATCTGACTTATAAAATAACTTTTATACTTTTATTACATAGATAAAATAGTGTCTCTTAATAATAATATAAATGTTTTGAAAGTGGAAATATTATTGTCAGAAATGTTCATGTTTAAGAATTAAGAACCTATACGTCTTATGGTGGGAGGGGGGCAGTAGGACGGAGTACCAGCTCAACTAATTATTTTTACATTTTAGAGAACCCCTTCTATAATTATTTTCTGTATTATACACAACATACCAGATATCATCATTTATCTAATTGATTACTTCATTGATAAATGATAATTATTGTAGTTTAAAAAATATATATTGCAGCCATCTAGCCATTTGAGAAAGACATTTTTTTGTTAGCTTCTTCCATTTTTACTTTTCAAGCATCTTTTTCAACAATAATAGATATAATTTTAATATTAAATACTTGGATATACCAAATGTACAAAATCAGCCTCCTGATAATATAGGTAGGTACGTAACTACAATCATAATATAAGTAATCAGTATTTATAAATTGAAAAAATTAAAATAATATTTTCTACTGCATACGCACTGTATAATATTCATATTGACTTTTGTTCAGTTAATCCGTAAATGAAATAAACCTATGTAAAATTTAAAAAAAAAATGGTTTCCCGTTTTCACGGGAGTCCAGCCGCAATTCTAAACTCGGCCCGACAAAAAAAAAAGTTCAAAAGGTCTATTTGTAATTTTGTAAACTCGGGCCCGATTTTTTCAGGTAAAAATAATTAAACCTATGTAAACTTAGCTTGAATAAAAAATCTGCCCTGATCTTCTCATACATAATTGCTAATAAGTATTTACCTTATAATATTTTTGGGAACCATTAAGCATTATCCAGAGAACACCACCACGGTTTTTTTTATTTAATTTTAATTTTTATATTATTAAAAACCATTAAAATTCATTATAACAACATTGGTACAATTGTATACAATTAAACGTTTAAAATTAATTTTTTTAAGTAGACAGCTGTGTATTTTACATATTAAGTAGGTATTCGTTTACTGATTTTTCTTTATTTTTTATACTTTTGAAGCGTTATTTTTTTAATTATTTAATTTTGAAGTTCAAATGGTTTATTGATAAATATAATAATATACCTACATAATATAATATATACCTACTGTTTATTTTGATACTAGGTACTATTTACAATTTACCTCAGGCGCGTATCCAGAATTTTATTTCGGGGGGGGCTGATGAACATTTATAAACATAGTAATACAGTAAAACAAAAAAATAATATTTAATGATTTAAAACACAAGTATAAAGTATATGAATATATAGTAGATAATAGCAATATAGCATAAAATATAATATAATATATTCAATGTGCAAACAAAATCAATTATAATCAATTAGTAACATACTTTAATTAACCCACTGGTCCACTGGTATTTAAAATTAAAATTAAGACCTTTATTTATAACATACCAATTTTACTTTTTTAACAGGAGGCAAGAACTCATTTTCAACTGTAGCCGGATCATCAGGATTGGAAGTGGCTCTGAGTTGCATTTTATCCTATATTGTAAAATAAGTTGGTTTAAGTTGGTGAATATACTAACTAATTCTGTAAATTTAATATATAATATTAGGTATAGAGTGTATTTTATTGACTTACCTTCGCTTTTCGAATGATAAATTTGTCCATTTTTTGAATTATAATAATACAAACTCAGTAGTCAGTAGTCAAAGTACAAGTAAAGTAAACTACAATTACGCTAAATAATAATATATTAATTATTGATAAAATTATTTGTACGATCACAGAGACACAGAATATAACAATTACCGATTTACTGATTGGAAATTTAAAACTCGCAAACAAAACTGATAACAGGATAACAGTGTTTATATCACACAGAGATTATATTATCTAAATCTGCGTGACTATGCCCATGAAAATTATAAAAATAATGTGTATATAATATTATATTGTGCAGCTCTATACTTCTATAGTGATCGGCAATCGTTATCGAAAGGTTTATAATAATTACTTATTAGTTATTAGTATCTATGATTTCCAGTATTATCACCCGTGGTATTTTTGTCCATGAGTGATAAGATATGCTAACAAAATAATATGAATTTAAAATCTATAAAATGGAATTTAATAATTTTGCATTGACTTTCATAGACCATGAAAATATTTTTTAGATTTTCTTAAAATTTCGGGGGGGGCTGCAGCCCATTCAGCCCCCCCCATAAATACGCCCCTGATTTACCTACTACCTATACATTAGGTTAAGACCGATATCACTATTATACATTCTAAGAAATCTACTGTATTTATAAAATTGTTGGTATGCATAACAATTTTATTAGTCGTTAGATAATTTTATTTTGAGGTAATAAAAAAAAATAATTCGATAGAGAAAGGGTTATCATTGTTAAATAATTGTTATTTGTCACCAACCTCTCAACTGCGTTGGTGGTGTAATGGTCAGCATAGTTGCCTTCCAAGCAGTTGATCCGGGTTCGATTCCCGGCCATCGCATGAAATTTTTTGCCCTTTTTTATATTATAATTTATATTGTTTTATTTTTGAATATTTTAATAACGGTTTTAATTGTAATAAGTTCGTTTTTCGTACAACGTATGCATTACTTTCTGCACATCTGAAACAGTATTTTTTATGTGTTATCTGTTATTAATAATTATAAACTAAAGTGCTATTATATGGGTAATTAATGTTATTACCAAATTATTGCCTGGTTGCAGGCGATAGTATAAATAATCACTAATCAATTGTATTGATCAATAGTGAATAATGGTCACTTAACTTAATTTAGTAACCCATAACTGCCTCATTAAATTTAAGTAAAATATTAAATTAATACACTTTTATGCAACCTGGCAATTGGCATATTATGTAGGTATTAAAAAATGTGAAAAATTTACAATTATATATCTCAAAAACTGGTATTGTTTAAAAAAATATTTTTTAAACATAATTTAAAGTCATTATAAAAAATTAATTTTTCTGTATTTATCGTTATCAAAATTTTGAAGTTGTTAATTTTGTAATGATCACACACATATTATACGTATGTTTAATTTCATATCCTAAAGCAGCGAATTTTTCAAGGAATATTTAAATACCTAGGTATAACAATTTAATTTTGAACGAGTAGTTAAGTTTTAGTAAGTATTTACAGTTAGTGTAGTACAGTGAATGGATTGGAATGGTGGACTACAAGGATGGGCTGAAACTCCTCATATTATCTAAACTTTAACCTTTAGGTACAACTGTATAAGTGTACAACTAATTAACTACTCATTCCGAATTTAAATATTTGGTTGGGTCTGTTCAGTTGGCAGATGCAGCAAAACGTA